AATAGGAGTTTTAAGAAATTTTAGTAGTAGAATATAGTAAATTAAAATATAACTACTTATTGTTATGAATATTTGTACCCGCGCCTAGTGATGGCCCTCTTGAATTAATAACAATAATAATTTAATGTAATCACATAGTAATTATAAATCATTAATGGTTAATAATTTTAGTAACCTTTTAAAACTCAAGTCCAGTATCCATTACGGCGCATTTGAGAAATACCCCAAAATTTGAAAAATTTGACGACTTATACGTATATAAATGTTGGAATGCGTCGGGGAGTGGGAAGACATTACGGCATTGCAGCATTACGGTACATAATATTTACGGCAATTGGGCTCTGTGCCATAATTAATTCTACCATATGGTAGAATGCCGTAATGCCGTAATTCAGTAATTCTACCGCCAACACTAGGTATGACTGTACATGTTTCATTCTATTGATATTTCTAATATTGGTAGGTTTTAATTAATGTTTGATGCACGTCAATACCATTAAATAAAATATCCAACCCGTAATTTTCTAAAATTAGTAGATCTTTACAGATTTTGTATTAATAGACACTTTATATATATTATGCGTATATTAATAAATTTGAAATATTAATCGAATTTTGAAAATAAGCATTCCTGATCAAGTTAATAAAATGATTCGTGGGTTTAATTCTGCTATACATACATATGTAATACATCATTTAAATAAGAAAGCAAAAAGTTTATAAATTGTTTACATTGTATAATATTGTATTTATGATACATAATACTGATAATTATTTATAATTTTCGTCGTGCGACCCTAGTAACCAGAACGATCAAATATTAAAACTGTATAATTAATGACAATATGTCATCATTATTCCATATCAAGTAGAGGAGATGAATTTGTTTTAATAGAATTTAAGAATGAAATATCAATAATGTATTCTCTATAGAATTTGTTAAATTTTTTTAAACGTTCAACTTGTTTTTCTAAATCATCGAGTCGCTTTTGAGTTGAGGAATTCTCATGTTCTTCGATACCAGATATTTTTTCATCATCAAACTCGTTAACTTGTAAATCCAATGTAGTTATTAAGAGGTCCTGTTCATATTGGTTTTTGAATGGCCGCGATCTGTGTATAAAACCCCATGGAGCAATTAAACCAAGTCCTAATAGTTTTTTTTTTTTTTTTTTGAAAAAGATAAACGATGAGTAAATTATTACTATAATTTTTATTTAAAATGGTCAGCATACCAAATAAAAATACATAAAAAGCTGCCATAGCGCTCCAAATGCCACCAAGAATTCCTAGTAAATTAAAAACCTATTTATTCAAAAAATAAGAATAATTATTAAATATATTTTTCTTTGGTTTGAAAAAAATTAATATGTATAAATACTTACAGTTTTGTTCCTATTATTATCGTTATTTATAAAATTGTTAATATGTGATTTCAAAATATAATATAGTGAATTAATCCATTTACGACTATTCTACGTACCTTTGTTCTTTTTCTATTTTTACAACAGGATTAGAACTTGGCATAAACTGTAGTTCTGCATAAAGAGTCCAATTACTGTTTACTATAATTTTAATCATGATTACACTTTAAAAAGGCTAACAGGTGCTGCTAAAGGAAAAACTACATATACTTCAGGGATTTTACATTTATAATTTACCTTAAAAAATTATAAATTCAAAAGCCCGAAGCGTAGTTTTTAACACTCAAATACAAATCTTTATAGCAGAATTATTCTTACTGGAATTTGATTGATTAAATGATGAATCCGCATAAGGTATAGCTTCTAATAGTTGACAATACAATTAATCTTAATAATTTTAAAAGTAAAGTATCACTTCACCGACACTCATATCTTTTGTAGACAACGCTTCAGACAATAACTAAATTTGCAAGCAAGTTAATTTAATAGATAATTTATTTAACACAGCTCATTTCATAAGTCACCCTAGCATCACCACCCTAAAAAATTTCGTCAATTAAAGATCAGAAGAGACGCAAAAATCAAAACAAACCAAAAAATCGGTCATAACTCAACATTTTATCTACAAAACTACTTTCTGCACACTGAAGAAACCTTTTTCTTGGAAATTTGTGCAAATAAAGTCTTTTTAACCTAACTTAATTGCCTTAATAGTAAACCCTGGTCCTAATTTAATTACGAACCTTTTTAAGTTGGTGATGTTAATGCTAAACAAAACAAATTGAGCTGTCGATAAAATAAACTTCCTATAAAGTGAACTTGTCTATGAATTGAATGTCTCTAAAATAAACATGTCAGTGATTGCTATCGATAAAGTGTTGAATCTATAAAAGGAGCATTGATGAAGTGAGCAGAACCGGCAAAAAAAAAAATTTGATATAAACATTCTTACGTATATTTGATTCTATATAAGGTTGTTCAATGTATCTTAGTTTACCAAAATAACTTAAAAAATCTTTAATTATACTATATTTGATGGTTCTAGTGAATCTCCAATAATAGGTCTAACAAATATGTAAAATCAAATTAATCAAATTTATCAAATTTATCATTAAAATTATTAAATATACATACAATTATGTCATCTTTAGGTTGTGATATAAAATATTCGTTACTATCAAAAAGTGATTGTTCAAATGGAGTTGGTGTACCTCTAAGGACTTGACCATCTATATCATAATTATCATATTCTAAACCATTTATTCATTTACTTTCATATTAACTCCTGTTAGATAATTAACAAAGAACTGTATAGATTTCATAAAAAACCTTGCCTTTATCAAATGCAAACATTTGCATGGAGATACTTTGATTGGATGAATTATATTGGGGATCTGTGATATATATTGAAAGAGTAAAAAGTGTACCACCCGTATCAGAAGTAGCGTTGTAATTTGGTTGAAACGCTCCAGAATATTTGTAATAATTAAGAAGATCGGAATTAGTAGTATTTCTTGTTTCAATGATAAATTCATTACAATCATCATTAACTAGAAAATTTTGAATTAAGTATGTTATATGCATGATTTATAACCAATTATGAAAATAAAACGCATACCAGCAACAGCATTCTTAGTTGAATCACAGAGAATAGTAAAATTATAATCATGATTAAAATATATATCTATATTAAATTAAAATTTGTGTCATATACACCGATTGATCCAAGATTTATATTTTAATTTAAAAATAATTTTTACTTGGCACGGGCAAATAAGCAGCTTCGATAAAGGACGTCATAATACTAGGCTGTTCAGTATGCACATCGATACATAATATTATAAATATAGCAATTATTAGCCCCAGGGATATGCTAATAACAGAAAGTCGAAGAATTTTAACCGATTTTGGCTCGGCTATATAATTGCGTCGGAATAAATCAATAATCATATTTTTTTTAAAAAAAAATTTATTGCTTTTTGATTTATTTTAATTAATTAATGAAAAAATTTACAACTTTTTTTACTTTCTGCTCTTTAAATATTTCATTCTATGTGTTTACGAAGATCTTTTGCTGATGATTAATATGGAAAACTTTTTCCTTTCTTGTTCATAAAACTTGTTTGAAAAATTATATCAATGACCATTGGACAATTTAGTCTTTGATGCGTAAATTCTCTATTTAAAACTCTAACTAAAAGTAAAATTACGTAATTGAATTTGATCAAATTTTGGTATATTACTTCTTTATTCATTTTTCCACTCCGGATTATACAGGAAAAACCATGCACTGAGATGCTTGTATATGGTTAGCTAAAAATAAGAATATTTTTATTGGCTAGCATCATGTAGATAGAGGATCATCTAATCTAAACCAGTACTGCAGTAACGAAAGTTAACACTGCATACAACGATTATATATAAATTATATGTTAACAGGTCCCAAATACGTGTGTGCATTATGCAGGCGATGTTATTATGTATTTTGATCTCTGTTATCAACAATCACTTTACAGATACTTGTTCCTATATAAATCTAATCGAATCCGATAACCTCTCAGTAATAATACAAAGTCAGTATATTATACTGAATTACATAATGCATCATGTGATGCAACGTCAAAAAAAAACTTGCATTCGCACATCTCTTTTATATGAGGCCATATTTGATTATTGCTAAATATCACTCCATTGTTTAGTTGTAGTTATATTTGGAACCATTTTTTAAATGGATAATTGACAAATAGATTCTAATAATGGAATATCAGTTTTGCGTAACCTTATGTACATCAATTTAAATTAAAAAATTAAACTTTTGAACAAAATTTGAACAAAGATATCTCGACAGCTTTTTTTGTTTCAAATCTATAAATGTCCAGAATTAAAACAAAAAGAAGCACATCAAATTTGCTTAGGTAGTCGTCGAGATATTTTCATTCAATTCTTGCAAAAACTCAAAACGCCTATAAAGTTTTTTTTTTAAAAAAAAAACTTGAACAAAAGTATCTCGACAACTACCTAAGCAAATTTGATATACTTTTTTTGTTTCAATTCTACAAATCTCTAGAATTAAAAAAATAACCATTGAATGAAGATATCTCGACATCTACCTAAGCAAATTTGATGAATTTTTTTGTTTCAATTCTAGAGATTTCTAGAATCAAAATAAAAAAAATTTTGCTTAGGTAGTTGTCGAGAAATCTTCATTCAAAAAGCTCAAAACGCCTCATCATGTGAAATCGTGAAATACGTTTACTGGCACAAATTATACTATCATCTAACCCTAACACTAACCCTAACATATATAGGAAGACTTTCTCGTGATTGGTCAATTTTATTCAATTGAATTTATACAGTTTAGAGTACTTTTACCCCCTAA